CTAAGAGCCTATCCATGTTAGCTCATTTTCTGTTCCCTTTCCCTGGGGAAGAACAGAAAACAAAGCTGCTTCTTCACCCCCTTGTGTTTGTAGCAGTGGCTGTGGTGGTTGGAGGCCATGACTCATGCATGTTTACAGCCTCCCTTCTCTTGCATTGTTAAGTGCAGAAACCTTCCTCAAATACTCTCTTAATATCCCAGAGGGTGGCTAGGAATACAAGGGATTTATTAATCCTTTGTTCTATTGTTTCTCCAATGAAGGCTCTTTTGCTCCTAGGATAAAGCCAGCAATGTCTGGAGTCCTTTTTTGTTGTCACATTTAGGGACTCCTTGATGTTTTGTGGTGTGGTCCTCACACAGAATGTTCTCATGCTAAACAACCAGGAAGATAGACTTCAGTGTTCATGACACATCCATGTTTCTTTTTTTTCTTTTCTTTTCTTTTTTTTTTTTGTTTTTTTTTTTTTTTTTTGGACGTTTTTTCTTTGTGTCTCTTTGGCCCCTCCCCTGCCACTCGCTCTGGAGACCAGGCTGGCCTCAAACTCACAGAGATCCACCTGCCTCTGCCTCCTGAATGCTGGGATTAAAGGCGTGCGCCACCAATGCCCGGCACATCCATGTTTCTGTTCTTCACTCAGGTGAGGCTTGGTGGAATGTGTGACATATAGGAAAGGGTAGGAAAGGGACTGCACACTTCCTGTGTAAGCACCACAATATCCGTAGCCTCTAGAATATGACCGCATCCTTACTAGTTCAATAAGTACTCGTGAACAATGATAACTCTAGATTTTATTTAAGTATTTTCCTAAATCTGATTATAGCTAATGTTGGGTTTTCCAGCATGGGTATGAATGTAGAACTCTGCCCATCAATAACCAACAAAAATACAGTCTATTTTTTTTTAAAAAAAAAAAAAAAACTGAATTGTCCTGCATAGATGAGGCAGGTATTCTCCAGTCCTACCTGTACTGAGGAGGTGGATAATAGCTTCTGGGGCAGGGGGAATCATTCTTTTTGAAGAGTACGTGTGGCTTCTGTAGGTAGCCAGCCCCACATCCATGCACATATGGACAGCACTTTAGACACAGTGGGCTATCAGAAAGAGAAAGGGACAAGGAGAGGGGGAAGGATGGGGAGAGAGAGAGGGAGGAGGAAGGGAAGGAGGGAAAGGGGTGAGGGGAAGGGGAGGGGGGACTCATGACGTTGTATACATGAATGAAATCCTAAAAGAATAATAAAAAAAAATCTGAGGGCTGAGGATGTGATTCATTTGGTAGGATGTTCGCCTAGCCACACACAAGGCCCTGGGTTCAACCCCCAGTTCCACTAAGAACCAGTCAAGATGGCACACACCTGTAATTCCAGCATTCAGGTGGTAGAGGCAGGAGGATCAGGAGTTCAAAGGCCATTGTTGACTGTATAGTAAGTTCAAGGCCAGCCTGGAATCCCTTAGACTCCTTATCAAGGAGAAAAATAAAGGTTAGGATAGAATTTGCTAGACATTAAAATAACAGTGAACTTCATTCTGAAACTGTTTGAGGCCGGCTGCATCTTCATATCATTTCTGTGTGTCTCTAGCCACCCTGCCACATGGAGGAGGAATTCCTGCAGTGCTGAGGTAGGATGGGCCACAGCAAACATCTCTCTGTTGTGTGGACCTTGTGTCCGGGAAGAATCCTCCAGCCTCACTCCTTATCAGAATTGCTTTCTGCACAGATTGCTTTGTTTGCTGGAGTCTGGCCTGGTTGGAGACAGTTCCGGCTCTCTCTGCGATGTGCCTATGTTAGGGGGCATCATCTGTGCCACTTCAGAAACACTTGAGAACTTTTGTTGTTTGTGGTTCTGGGGAAGGATACCCAGGTTTTTGTATGTACCCCATCTTTTGGAGTGACCTACACTGCCAGCCCAAATTTCAGTTTTATTTTCTGTATTAGAGAGGCAGGGAGAACATGTCCAGACGTTGTGTGTGTGTGTGTGTGGGGGGGTATATGCCCAAATGTGTGTGGGTAGGCATACCACAAGAGGATGCTGAGTGTCCTGTTCTCTCCCTTTCTCCATTTATTCTCTTGGAATAAGGTTTCTTACAGAACCCAGAGCCATACTGGCAGCTAGCAAGCCCTAGCATTCTTCTCTCTGTCTTCCATGTATCTTCCACTCACCCGTGCTGGGTGTCACAGGCATTCGTGGTCTCACATGGCTTTTTATGGCTAGGGTTCTGAACTCAGTCCTCCTGCTTATGCCTAATGCTAATACCCGAGCCTCTGTCCAGCTTTTTTACATTGTAGTTCAGAACACTGTCATCTACAGAGTTCATGCTCAAGCACCATTCAATAAAATTACCAAAGAAAAAAACCCTGCAAAAATATCTCACAATGTTTTAAGTAAGTTTGTAAGTTGGTGTTGGGCTACGCTCATATATATCCTGGGTGTCCTGGGGCCACAGGTGGATATGCATGGCCAAACCTGCAGAGGTTTTCAGTTCTCTTCCTTTTCTTTCACAGATCTGAAGAAAACACTTGCTGTACTACTAGATAACATCTTGCAACGCATTGGCAAGCTCGAGTCGAAGGTGGACAATCTCGTCAATGGCACAGGAGCAAATTCTACCAACTCCACCACAGCTGTCCCCAGCTTGGTATCGCTTGAAAAAATTAGTGTGGCAGGTAAGGTTCGCTGTTCCCTGCCCAGCCATGGGACTGAAACCCTGCCTAAAACCACAGCACCATTGCTCTATTGGTACAATATAAACTTCATAAGCTTGGCATGATTGTTGTGAAGGCAAGCTTATACTTATTTTTTAATAAAAAATATTGAGATGTTTTTGTGTGGTCCCCTCAGAGTATCTGGTGGTTTCTCCGACACGTATGCAGATAAAGAGCTCCTAGAATTGAGTTCTACCGACACGATTCAGAACATAGATGAAGTGAGTTGTAGAGATTATCAGAGATGCTCCCAGCAGATGAGTTATCTCTCTGCCCAACTCTTGTCAGTTGCAAAAGTCTGCTAGTTATTAGGATGTGGCAGTGCACTCCTATAATCCCAGCACTTGAGTGTGGGAGTTCATTAGGGAGTTCAAGGTCATCCTCATTTATACAGTGAGCTTGAGGCTGTCCTGGCCTATAGGAGAATCTCCCAGGAAACTAAAACACTTAATGGCCAAAGCTGAGGAATTTTAACAGAAGGTAAGATAGTACTGCTTTGTAAAACAGAGTGTGAAATAAACTCTCCGTGGTTGCAGGCAGATATAAATGAATGATTAAATTCATATGAAAAAGGGGGAAAAATGGAAGAAGAATTCGAAATAATTTCTCATTACCCAGACGTTATTCTGGCAAGCAAGGAGAACATAACTCCCTGCCCTTAAGTGCAGGATAAGTGTCATGATTGTGTTCCCAAGGTTATAAGAGGGGAAGAAAGGGCAATTAGGGGCTGGAGTGTGGCTCAGTTGGTAGGATGCCTGCCTGGAATCAATTCCTGTACCTCATAAAGCAGGTGTGCCGGTGCATACCTGTAATCTGAGTACCCAAGGTGGAGGCAGGAGGATCAGGAATTCAAGGTCATCCACTGTGGTGTAGAGAGTTTGAAGCCAACCTGGGCTATGGGGGACCCTCTCTCAAGAAATAAAAATAAACACTAGATAGCCAGTGTGATAGATAGAACCCTCCAGATCCTGGAAGTTTAAGGTGACTGGCCACTTACTGCCTGTGGTAGCTTCTCTCACCCTTCTTGTTAAAGCAGGGTTGTCACTGTTCACAATGCCTCTATATGTATATGGAGTGCTAAATGAGGTGGAAAAGCCTTGTTCTGGCCAGGTGCCAGAACACTTTCATGTGATTTCCCAAAAGGATGCACCTTGCCTTGCCCCTTTTTGAAACTGGAATCTTAAACAAGAGAAGGGAAATAGTTAAAAGCAAAACCTAAGTCTTGCACCAAAGGCCATTGTCCACAGTTTGCCTTGAGTCTACTGTTGCATCACAACACCTTGGGGTTCCCCCCACCCCCCACCTCCGGCCTGTTTGTATGTAAGCCTCAATTCCTCTTGATAGGATGACCATAATAATCTGGTCTAGGGCTAGAGGTGAGGCACTTTGGATAGGAGGTTATGAACAAGCTGTCTAGACTTCTGGCATGTGGTATTCCCTAGTAGTAGTTAGAAGATAAAGTTAGGGGGTTGGAAAAATGGCTCAGCTGTTAAGAGCACTTGTTGCTTGCTCTTCCAGAGGACCTGGGTTTGGTTCCCAAAACCCAAATGATGGCTCACAACTGTCTGTAACTATACTTTTAGGGGATCTGATGCCCTCTTATGGCCTTTTCAGGCATCAGACACACACATCGTGCACAGACATACATGCAGGTAAAATGCCCCCTCCCTGCCCCTACACACTATTTAAGAGATGAAGTTAATTAGCCATGTTATTTTTTAATTTTTATAGATCAAGTTTTAAGGGACTGGGGATGTGGCTCTGTTGGCAGAGTGCTTGCCTGTCAGACACAAAGCTCTGCGTCCCATCCCTAGCACTGCCTGAAACAGGGAGTGGCAGTGGGGACTGAACTCTCAGTCCTTGTGTTTAGGAGGTGGAAGCAGTATGATCAGAAATTCAAGATTACCCACAGGTGTGCATTCAGTTCCAGGCCACACTGGGACACGGTAATCAACAAACAAATAAAAGCAGCCTAGGTTCACACATATTGTAGCTGCTTTCTTTCCTCATCTGTTGTTGACAACTCAGTGGCCTAAAATTAGGATTTTCTCTCCCTGTACTGTCTTTCAGTTAATTTTTCCCATTATGTGAGCTGGGTGAATTACCCTTCTCCTAGGCTTTTTGCCCTTTAGCAAGTTTTAATTCACAAACAATATTTCTAATAATCCTAGTATCTCACCAAAGTGTTAAAAATAACTTTTAATTACAACACAGAGACAGTGTCATCTAAGCTATAAATCCTGTCATTCTTGCCATTTCCAGCAGTTTCTGTAATTAGACAAGGAAACCTCCCGCTGTGTTGAGCTGCTTATTAATAAGTGGGTGCTGTGCCTCTCCAGGCTCTACTCACCGTGCCCACTCCCAGTGGAAGTTGCTTATGGAGGGTTCCTGTCTGACTTCATCATGATTCTGTGTGATCTGATTTGGAAGATAGGGTAGTTTGTGTGTGTGTGTGTGTGTGTGTGTGTGTGTGTGTGTGTGTGCGCGCGCGCGTGCACGCGTGTGTGTGTGTGTGTGTGTGTGTACATTCATGTCTACAGTCGCTTGCACTGTGCCTCTTACTCTTCTACATGCATATGGAGGTTAGAAGTCAACATTGGATGTCTTCCTCAATTGCTTCCAGCTTTATGAGGCACTGTCTCTCACTGGTCTAGAGAAACTGATTAGGTTGGCCGGGCAGGACCCAAGAATCCCCTGTCCCTACCTCCCCAGTTCTGGGATTATAGGTGCATTTTTATGTGTATACTCAAGTCTTCATGGGCTTGGGATAAACACTTTACCAACTGAGGCCCCAGCATGGTGTTTTCTGTTTTTAACTTTGTTGTTCCATGGTAGCCATGTCCTGTAACTGAAGGACCCGGACAGACTTTGATGCCATCACTCTTCCTGCTGTGGGATCTTGTGGCCTTTAAAAGTCCAAGTTTGAGACCAGGCTATAGAGTGTCAGGTTCCAAGTTTCAGTCGTGATCTTGGGAGTGACACTGAGTATATGCTTCCCAAGGGGATGCTAGCCAACAGCCTTGTGTACTGTGCTAGTTAACTCAGCTAACAAGTGTCTATGGGGTTCATTCTGGAAGCTATTAACTCAGATTGAAGCTACTATGGATGTGTTTATAATATTTAGTGAATTTAATATAATACAAACACCAGAACAAAGGGCCGGGGAAGGTCTCAGTGATTAAATACATATACTGCTCTTTGTGAAAAACCCAAGTTCAGTTCCCAGCTCCCATGTCAGGTCACTCGCAACCACCTAGGGGATCTGATGCCTTCTTCCAGCCTGTGTGAGCATCTGCACTCAAGTGTACATACTCATTCATATATACATAATTTTCAAAAAGAAAAAAATCAGAAAGATGCTGGGCGGGATTTTCTTGTTGTTTTTAGAAATAGGTGCAAATTTCAGGGTCAGAATTGCTTTGTTTTGAGACAGGATCTGTATTAGTTACTTTTCTGTTGCTGTGATAAAACAGCATGAGCAAGGTAACTTACAGAAGGAACTGTTTATGTGGCTTGTGTTTCCTGAAGGATAAGGGTCCATCACGGCAGAGAAGCATGACAGCAAGCAGCAGACTTGATGGGTGGAGCAGAAGCTGAGGGCTCACATCTTAAACCACAAGCAAGCAGTAGAGTGAGTTTACTAGAAATGGCTCAAGTCTTTAGACTCTCAAAGCCTATCCCCAGTGACATACTTCCTCCAGCAAGACCACATCTCCTCAGCCTCTCCAAAAAAGTGCCATCAACTGGGAACTACATATTCCAATGCTAGAGACTAATAGGCACAAACTACCACCTGGCCTCATGTTTCCTAGGCTGGGCTTATGTAGCCAAGACTTTGAACTTCTTATACTCATGCTTCCACTTCCCAGTGGTAGGATTACAGATGTGAGGTACCACACCAGGTTTATGGGATGCTTGGGATGCCACCCAGAGCCTTGTGCATGCTGGGCAAGCACTCTGCTAACTGAGCCACATCCCTAGCCTACAAGTTAAATTTGTAATAATCAACCCCATGCTAGTTTAGTCTTTGTGTCTTTATATTTAGAGACGCCCCATACCTTCAGTGTTCTTACTGGATAATTAGGGAAAGAATATACACACATAAAATAGCAAACTATGGTTGTTGTGAGGTAGGATGACAAGGGAGGGCTTCTGTAGGACGTTATATTCTGGAAGTAGTTGTGATTGAGACCTAAGAACCTTGTGGAGGAGAAGCTTCCTAGAAATGGATTGTGACCTCAAGGAAATGGGGAGAGGAAGAGAGGAAGCTCAGAGCAGATGGGCAGCAGGTGCCTCTTAATCTCCTGTTCTTCCAGGGTCCACACCTTGACTTAATCTGCTTCATGTTCCTGAGAAGCAAGTCCTTTGACATGTTTTACTGAGCTTAGGTATTTGGGGAAGGGAAGAGCCCTTGGTACCACAGTCTCCACAAGGCTGTGCATGCCCTCCGTGTCAGTTACTTACTCATTGCTATGCCGAAGTACTTGACAAAAGCAACTTAAGAGGGGAATGGCTCATTCTGGCTCACAGTTTGCCATGACAGTGGAAGGATGGCAGCATAAGTGTGAGGCAGCTGGTCACATGACATCCACAGGAAGCAGAGGGAGATGGATGCTACTTCTCAGCTTGCCTTTTCCTTGCTGTGCTGCAGTCTGTGGACATACCCTGAGACATACATGCCTTTCCACCTCAGTTAACCAGTTCAGAAACTCCCTTGTAGACATGCTCAGATGCTTGCCTTTGGAGATCCTAGAGCCCATCAAGTTGACAGTCAAGATTAACTTCACACACTTCTGTTAGTTTACAGGAAAGAAATTCTTCATGCTTTAATCACCTCCGGTTTCCATCTGTATGTCATCATAAAGGTCCAAATCTGTGGCTTTTCTATTCTGATAAAACACCCTGACCAGCCGGGAGTTGGTGGCACACGCCTTTAATCCCAGCACTCGGGAGGCAGAGGC